TTTGTAACACATTCTTGTATATAAATATAGCTCTTGACTCTTGGTTTGAGTAAGCCAAAACCCAAAACTTCTTCTTTTTGGTATTAGAGCAAAAACAAAAACTTCGCCTCCCCAACGCCGCCACCTTCTCTTTCTCTCTCTCCATTTTCCCTCACCTCCGACACACCTCCATCTCCTCCTAGCCCTTGCGCCGGACCCCTCAAGTAACCCTTTGTTTTTTACTCCTTTTTTAGGAGAGTTCCCTTAGGTTTTATATGACCTAAGCGTCCTTCTTGTGTTTTTTTTTTTCTTTGTGGGCTATCGGTATTTGTTTGGCAGTATATTTAGAGGAAAGTGACGATTTTTCCGGCCTTGTTTTTTTCTCTTTCCTCCTGCTTCGACGTGTGGACCAGCCTTATTTTGGTACTATGACCGACTCTAGTAGCCAAAAGGACACTTTATCCTCGATCCAACATACTTTATCTTCGGCACATCATACACCGGCACAACGGGTTACTAGTGTGCTCTTGAATGGGCGCACCTTCGTATCTTGGTCCCATTCTCTTCAACTCTATATTGGAGGGAAAAGGAAAACTGGTTGGCTTTTGGGTCTAGTTAAGGAATCGTAAAAGACGGATACTAAATATATTGCATGGGATATGGATAGGTGCATCATTCTGGGTTGGATCTTCAACTCAATGGAGGAGCGTATCTATAATATGTTCATGTTTCACACTTCCGTTTTTCGTCTATGCAGGCCCTTAACAAGATGTATGCCCATTCCCGTAATGATGCTCGTATCATTGAACTCTATCAGGAGATTGCTCATGCATCTCAGGAGACATTCAAGCTGTCAGTATCAGAGTATTTTGGGTAACTCCAGCCTAAGAGGGAAGACTTAGAACAATATGAACCTCTCTCCGATTTATGTAAAGAAGTTGCAACTCTTTTGGTACTGCCAGCATACCTACCGGTTTTTTATGGGTTTACAATCCGAGTATAATGCTCTTAGAACTCAGATCATAAACGCCTCTCCTATGCCTGATTTATATAATGCCTTCGCTATTGTTGACTATGAGGAGCATAGACGTCAGATTTTTTTAACCAGTAGCTTTACGAGACTCCAATTGATTAGATGGCTCTTGCTGCTAATTCTAGACTTCTAGAGGGAAAGGTTATTTGTCAACATTGTGGAGCCACTGGTCATATAAAATATGGTTGCTTTAAGCTTCATCCCGAGCTAAAGCAAAAAATTTCTCGCAATCGTCTTTCTGGCCGTGGCCACACTACTGTAATAGCCGATACTATTGGGGGTATACTACTCCACAGATTATTGTCCCTCCTGCTTCAACTCCTCCCAGACCATCTTTACAGGACTTCAAGCAGTTACAGTCCCAGATTGGCCGGCTTCAGGAGCAGTTCGAAGCATTATCTACCAGGGCTAGCTCTTTTATTGCCACGGCTACTAAAGTTACAGGTACTCCTTCTGCTTTTCATGATAAAGCGGAAAAACCTACTTGGGTTCTGGATTCCGAAGCCAATGATCAAATGATTCATGAGTTGTCTTTATTTTCTACTCCCGTTACCACTATTAGTCTAGCCAATGGGTCAACCACCATTATTCGCTGTAAAGGACATGTTCATCTATCCCCTAATATTATTTTGCCATTTGTTCTTCATGTTCCTAACTTTGCATTTAATCTTCTATCTGTTAGCAAACTTGCCAAATCACTAAAGTGATTTTCTTTCCTCATTATTGTGTTTTACAGGACCTATGTTCGAAGAGGATTTTTGGCAGGGAATATGACCACGATGACCTCTACTACTTTAGGGATCCTCCACCGACACCTCCTCCACTTGCTTCAAGCCTCTGTTCTTCCAGTTTCTAGGTCTCATTATTTTTCTTTCCAGACTTTAAATTTATGGCATGCTCACCTTGGGCATGTAAACTTTCAGTATTTATGACTGTTTTTCCCTTCATTAATGGCTTGTAAGGATAATAAGTTTCAATGTGAGACTTGTTAGCTTTCTAAACATACTAGAACCAGTAATATTACTCATATGCATCGTGCACCTAGTATGTTTGATCTCATCCATTCTGATGTGTGGGGTCCTTCTCCTGATACTGCTTTTATGGGCCATCGTTATTATGTCACATTCATTTATGATTATTTCCGCTGCACACGGGTATATTTACTTAAAAAGAAATCTGAACTTTTTCCTTTGTTCACTCAATTCCTCTAAATGATCAAAACTCAATATAAAATTGTTGTTAGGAATATTAGGTCTGACAATGGTCATGAATATGTTTCCAATTAGTTTCGGCCTCAATTTAACCAACAAGGTATTCTTCATCAACTTAATTGTCCATATACCCCTAAACAAAATGGTGTGGCAAAGCATAAAAACCGTAATCTAATGTCAGTTGTTTGATGTCTTTTAAGTGGTATGAATGTGCCAAAGTCATACTGGCACATGGCGGTTCTTACAACTACTTTTCTCATTAATCGTACCCCTAAATTACTCTTTTTTCCATCATGCCTCAGGTGTTTGAAGTACATGTTTTGTTCAGAATCGTAGCCCTTCTCGTACTAAACTTGATGACAAGGCCATTAAATGTATCGTTTAAGAATACTCTTCAAGGTCAAAAGGTTACCGGTGTTATGATCCTATACACAAACACATGTATCACTCTCTTGATGTCACCTTTCATAAGCATACCCCTTTTTATGGTTCTAACACTATCTTGCAGGAAACTTCTACTCCCGATCAAGAGGCTTCTCCTCTTGCTCATCCTCTTCCTATTGTTCAAGAAGAGTCTTCTCTTGTGGTTTCCACACCCCCTTTGCCGGTGTATTCTCGCCGCCCTCGTGCTCCGCCTCCACTGCCTTCATCCTCCTCAGATACAGGTTTAGGTACAATACAGGTTTAGGTACATCTCCTCTCTCTCCTCTACATTTCCCTAACCCTGTTCCTGAGTTTCGGTATCCCACTCATGATCGCAAACCCCTTACTCGATTTGGATTCGCTTGTAGTACTAATCATCATATTTCGCAGTATATCTTTAATGATGGTCTTTCAGGGTCTTACTGAGCCTTTTTAGGCAAGCTTGATTCCATTTCCATTCCCATAAATGTCTTTGAGTTCCGGAATCCCAATTGAATGTCTGCTATGATGGTAGAAATGGATGCTTTGCAGCAAAATGAAACATGGGAGCTTGTATATCTCCCTCCTGGTGAAAAGACTGTTGGTTACAAATGGGTATCCAGTGTTAAATATCTAGCCGATGGCACTATTGATTGGTACAAGGCTCGTTTGGTGGCCAAGGGTTTACTCAGATTCCTGGTAAAGACTCTCATGATAACTTCGCTCCAGTGGCTAAATTGACCTCAATTCGTTTACTTGCCTCCCTAGCTGCCTCACACAATTGGCCTCTTCATTAGCTTGATGTTAAGATGTTTTCCTTAATGGTGATCTTCTTGAGACTATTTATATGGATCCTCCACCCGGTTTTCGGGCTGAGGGGGAGTATACTGGAAAGGACTGTCGATTGCGGAATTCTTTGTATGGGTTAAAACAATCTCCTAGAGCTTGGTTCAACCGCTTCAGTGATGTAATTCTATCCATGGAGTTTGTTAGATGTCATTCTAACCATACATGTTTTATCCACCATTCTTCTACTGGTCGATGTATCATTCTTCTTGTCTATGTTGATGATATCATCAACATAGACAAGAAGAATGATACATCGACATAGACAAGAAGAATGATACATCGACATAGATAAGTTTCCTTGCCGACGTAAACCCAATACGCTCCAGTTCACTTCTCCACAGCCATCCGAACCCACTGGCAGTCTTTGCTCACCGTTCCACTCCGCAATCCAACAGCCCGTCACCCACTGCTGCAGCCGAGTCGTCCACCGCCAGTTCCGCCGATTTCTCCACAGCCCGTCGCCCACCGCTGGTTCTGCCGACTTCTCCACCGGGCAAGAGGGAGACTCGAAGGGATTGAACGGCAATAGGCTTAAGGCACTGCATCGGCGGGCAAGGCGGTGACGAACCTGCAAAGGTGCAAGGTTGTGCTCGGCTCAGCAAAGATGAAGATGGGCTCAGCCGTGAGGAAGAAATGCAATCCATCTTATGCCGGATGGGTCATTCCGAGCTCGCCCCCTATTTTCCAAGGCCATTGTTCGCGTGGGTTCTTCCCTCTTCTCTGAGGCCATCGTCGCTAGTGATTCGCCATCATCACCCCCTGTTTTCCGAGCTCGCCCCCTGTTTTGTATGTGTGTGTGTGTGTGTATAGATAGATATATGCACATGTATATATATATATGGATGAGATTGATAGGTGGAGTTGGGACCAAAATTGTCTTGTTATGGAAGAAGAGGAAAGGTGAATTCGATGATGGTCATAGATATGTGTGTGTGTGTGTGTGTGTGTATTTATATATATGGATCATATTGATGGGTGGAGTTGGGACCAAAATCGTCTGTTGTGGAAGGAAGAGGAAAGGTGAATTGGATGATGGTCTGACGAGGAGAGAAAAGGAAATGCGTATGTTGGGGGTAGTTTGGTCACAAAAATAGTCAACAACAGGTCAAAGGGTAGCACAGTCATTTAACACCTCAAAAGTACTATGACCCCACCAAAAATTGACATTTGGGGTGTAAGTGAAATGCTAAACCACTAATTCAAATGTAAAGTGAAAGTTAAAAACAAAATCTTTATCTAGCTGAGATATGGACTAACCTCAGGGGGCGAGTGTAATTTACCCTAAAATTTATGTTTTAGCCAAAGTATTCTCCAAATAATTTATTTATGCAACTTGTTTGGAAAGAAATTTTGAGACCAGATATAGGACTATATTGTGTTTTTCTAATCTATTTAAGAGTATACGGATAAAATTAGGTTTTATGTTGAATACAAATAATTAATGCAATTTACGTATACTATCATGTAAAATAGAACATGCTAGTAAAGCATGAATATAAATGAAATATTCTCAACAGAAAACATACATTAACACCTGAAACTTTTTGAGGAATTAAGCGATCATTTCTGTCACCTAAACCCAAGTTTCCATATCGGCCCCAGCCCCAGCCGTAGAGCTCACCATCTTCTGTAACAGCAGCTGTGTGTTCAGCACCAGCAGCAACCATTTTGACCGAAACTCCCTACAAAATACAATGAAAGTAAATCATTTCAGGAAGCGAGTCTCCATGCCCATTTGAATATAAAGTTAGTCTAAAATGCTTCATACATCACTATATAATTAATAATGTGTAATCAGGAAACAATTCTTTTTCTTGGTAAAGGTCAAGAAGGATAGTTTATTTGAGATGTCCAGTGGATTTCATTAGTTATCCAATGTTTGTCCAGCCAATTCTGAGAGGTGAAGATTGAATACAAACCAAATCTTTGAAAATACAGCATAAATTGGTTGTGTTGAATTTAGGAATTACAGAGAAGAAGAAGACAGCGTGTATGGGATCTGAAAAATATTTTGGAGAGATACACAACCGGGCCTCTCTCACTTATTTTATATAACAACTTATATTACAAGGAAAATGACCAACATATAAGAAATACAAAATACGCCTATATACATTCTAACACTCCCCCTCAAGCTGGTGAGTATATATCAATATATCATATAATCCCCAGCTTGGAACAAATAAACTTCAACCGCTTATAACTTAGAGCTTTAGTAAACATATCAACAAATTGATCTTCAGATATAAAAAATGGTGTAGAGATGCCTCCACTCAATATCTTATCACGGATAAACTAACATTCAACTTCAATATGCTTGGTTCTCTCATGAAACACTGGGTTGGATGCAATGTGGACAGCTGCTTCTTACTCCTCCATGTTACCAAATTACCACCTAAGAAGGTGCCTATAGTGGATCTTCTATCTGAGGGAGAACCAGCCCAATCAGCATCTGTAAAACCTTCCACCTTAAGGTGTCCATTTGGTTTATACAACAACCCGATACCCCGAGCTTGCTTAAGGTATTGAATAATCCGAAGAACAGCATTCCAATGAGGCACTATAAGAGCACCCATGAATTGACTCACTACAATATCAGGTCGAGTAATGGGGAGATAAATTAGTTTTCCAACTAGGGGACAGTATTTACCAGGGATATCAAATAAATCTCCCTCATCAACCAAGAGTTCAATGTTTGAGTCCATAGGCACATCAACTGGACAACCACCTAACAAACATGTTTCCTCCAATAAGTCTAGCACATACTTCCTTTGAGACAAACTTACATCTTGATTAGATCGAGCAACTTCAATACCTAAAAAGTATCCGAGTTTACCCAAGTCTTTAGTCAAAAATTGATGTTGCAGAAATAATTTCAACTTAACAATGCCCACAAAGTCATCCCCTACAAGAAAAATGTAACCTGTTGGTATGTTGATGAAATACCAAATGATCTGTTTGCCATCTACAAAGACCAAATCCTAATGTCGCCTCAGAAAATTTTCCAAACCAAGCTTTAGGTGATTGTTTCAAACCATACAAGACTTTCTTTAGGCGACAGACCGTGTGTCAATACTCCACCTGGGCAACAAACCCAGGTGGATTCTCCATGTAGATTTCTTCAACTAAGTCACCATGTAAGAAAACATTTTTAAAATATAACTAAAACAAGGGCTAGTTAAGATTCGCAACAATAGAAATTAAAACATGAACAGAAGAAATCTTGACAACAGGAGAGGTCTCATCATAATCAACACCATAGGTCTTTGTATAACCTTTAGCAACAAGGCATGCTTTTAAACGCTCAATAGAACCATCACGAAGATATTTCACGGTATATACCCACTTACAACCAATCCTGGTACCAAGAGGTAGTGGAACAAATTCCCACGTTCCATTAAGATGTAAGGCATCCATTTCATCTTCCATTACTTCACCAACCCGAATCAGATAGAGCATCCCTCACTTAATTAGGAAAAAAAGTAGTAGACAACTTGGAGGAAAAACATGAGAAAGATGGTGATAAGAATTTATTAGAAACATAATTAGCAATGGGATGATTAGTGACACAAGACCGAGTACCTTTACGAAGTGCAATAGGTAGAGAATCGGATGCAGCTAATGGTGTCAGATCTAAAGAATCTGAAGAAGGTTGATGTGGCATGGCGGCTTCAGTCGTCAAGTATAAACCTATTGTTTGTTGTTTGGCGGGTAAACACTGGTCCTTTCCAGATGAATGGAAAGGTTCGGGTGTGTCAGGAACTGCTGTAGTTCCAAAGGGGATATCCAAACAATATTCCAATGGAGAATTGTTGGGATCAAGCGACTGAAAAGGAAGCTTGGAATGACCACTTCCAGGGGTTCTTTTTGCCTTGAAAAATGACTTGAGGAAAGTTCTACAACTAGTGGAAAGGAAAACGAAAGTGTTGGACTTTGAAATAAAGTAACTACGATATAATTGCTTGAAAGTAAAGAAGGACAGTATTGGACTAGAATTAAGCATAATTAAAATGCATTGCTGGAATGTAATTGAATTGGAGTTGATAAGCAAAGTGTCGTTAAGATTGTTATGTGTGTTGAACAGGGTTTGCATACTATGCCTAAGGGTCCTGTTTATTTGTCAGCAGTTGGAGATTTCAGTTTCAGCAGCAGTTGACTGATTCCGCTTGGCACATCTCTGCAGTGCTAGGTGTCCCATAACTTGCAATTTCTTCATGTATTTGTATCAGTCTCCCTCCATATTCAGGCTTCCTTCAGAGTCCACCTGGTGCACTATACCAGACTTTACCATGTTGCCCATAACCCTTAGTAACTTCCCAGCAGTTGGTAATGGCAGCATCATCAACGGTTGGAAACTTCCACCTGGCACACCTACGTTGTGCCAGGTGTCCTGTGATCTTGGCAATTTCTTCATACGTGCATGAATCCTTCTTCTATATAAATTTTGAATTACATATATATATATATACAGCATTGTATACACATTCCCATTAGTTTGAATAACCACCCATGATGCAATTTAGGTAGTTTGCTACAATTTAGCAAAGTTCCTAAAATATCTCCCAATGAACCTAGACATATGTTTCTCTCTCCCATGTACCTTCCTTCGAATACCCTTTCCACGTAATAGGAGCAATTTCTATTTACATGGTAAGTGGAGATCTAATATAAGTGGGGCAGTTATCTTCTTGCTTGACCAAGTCAAACACTATTTGAGCTTGAATATGGACAATCTGACATCTAAAATATAACATATATCCTCTTGATGGACTCTCATCACACCAGATCTAAATTACCCTTGTCCTGGTCTTTAGTGCCACATGTCTGCATCTGAACAGTTTCACGCTTCAGACTTGGGTGGCTAGGTGGAACTGCCTTCAAGGTAGCATTCCTTTTCCAACCCTAGTTGTAGCTTCCTTTTCTGGTTGATGAGATATTAATTTAGTGTGGCAAGTCCCATGTAACTCGCCATACGCCGCCTTTCCATTGGCTTATGGATCCCTTCTTGTTTTGAATCGATCCGTGGGTTCACATGGCAGCATTTGAGTGGCTTAAGTCTCACAACTTTGAACTACCAGGGGGGGTTGCATGTATGGTAATATTTCAGCGTAACTTATCTTTCCAAGTTATCGGAATAGCAATCTGGTGTGTTAAGCTCCCCCGGAACTCGCCACATGTCAATTTTCCATATGTCCAAATTGGTGGCATTAACACCTGTAATGGAGGAATGGGGGTTGTGGTAAACTAGAGTGGCTAGATAACAATGGAATAGGAAGGGGAACAAAGTGTGAGGAAGTCTTGGGAGTAATATCAAGAAGAGGACTTTTATCAGAAAAATATGGAATAGGCTCACAAAAAGAGACATCAGCACTAGTGAAATATCGCTGAAGGGTAGGACTATAACAATGACAACCCTTTTGGGTACAACAATAACCGAGAAATACACACTTGGGTCCAAGATTGTGGACATAACAAACACACCCGAACACTTGGAAGTAATAGGAAATGAGGGAAAATAAGGAAAAAAAAATAGAGTATGGAGATTTTCCACCTCCATGTAACACAAAAGATGGCAAACAATTAATGACATAACATGTGGTAAGTACTACATAACTCCAAAACCGTTTCAGAACATGCATATGAAATAAGAAAGCATAAGTCACTTCCAATAGGTGACGGTTCTTACGTTCAGCCACACCATTTTCTTGTTGGGTGGAAACACAAGATGATTGATGAACAATGCCTTTATCATGAAGAGATGTATCGAAATGAGCTAAGAAATATTCTTTAGCATTATCAGACCACAAGACACAAATTGAGCATCCAAATTGGGTTTTCACATTCTGGCGAAATATTTGAAAAATTGAAAATAATTCATAGCAATCTTTCATTAAGAACAACCAAGGCATACGAGAATGATAATCCACAAAAGTCACAAAACAACGAAATCCATTAATAGATGTATGTTTTTTTTTAGACCCCATACATTTGAATGAATCAACAGAAAAAGACTAGACACGATTATCAATCCTAGATTTGAAGGATATACGTTGATGCTTACTAAGTTGACAAGCTTCACATGACAAAGACGACGTACGACTAAGACTTGGGACTTGACGCTGCAAAACCGGAAGCGACGGGTGACCAAGACGACAGTGCCACTAAAATGGAGATGGAGAAGAATGACAAACCATGGGATGAGGCTCAAAGTCAAAATCGTATAAGCCACCCACTTTATGCCCCGTACCAATCTTATTCTTTGTCTTGAGACCTTGGAAACACAATAAATGGGATAGAACGTAACAGAACAATGAAGGGCTTTTGTAAGCTTACTAATAGACATCAAGTTAAAGGGAAATTGAGGAAGATGTAAAACAGATGACAAAGATACGGAAGAATTAAGTTGAGTATTTCCAACACCTGATCCAGAATTGAACTGGCTTGAAATTCAAATATCTGGAAACTCAACAGAACAACAAAAAAGAAAATTCCAGAAACTAGACTGGCCGGAACTGGATTCGCCGGAGACTGGCTGAAAACTGGTCGGCTGGAACTTGACTGGCTGGGGACTGGCCGGAAACTGGTCCGGCTAAGAGGATGATCCAAGTGGATAAAATGAGGCTGATCCAGGCGAGTCAAGAGTAATGATTGAGCCAGGTCTTATCTCCTCAAATGAATATTC